AAAGACTACCTCGTGTGATAATGACTTTATTTAGCCCGGCGGTAATTTTTTCTTTGCACGCACACACACCCATCTGCCGTTAACAGATGATCCAATGCACCTGCGCTGATGGAAGCCTCTGGACACCGGCCTTATCACAAGCCCCCTCATTATGTCTCATTTATCTCCTCCCTTTCTCTCCCCTGCCATGCGCTTGTGGACACCCCATCGCCCTCCGTCTCCGCTGTGGTGGAGGGCGAGGACGGGAGCGTCGCACGTGTCTACGGCTCCGACGGCTGCCCCATCGGGTGGTGCATCCACATCTCCATCTTCTACAAGGCTGAGATGGCACCACTTAGTCACCCCATGCTTCGCCTCTCCGTTGTCAGCATGGAGGTCTAAGGCACTGCTGACGAGTTTGCTGGGCCAGGTGGACGCACGGTTCGAGTGCAAGCCTCGTGTCGTGCTGCAGGAGTAGCCTTGCACGGCGTTGCTGTGTGGTCCGGGCTGACCCACAACCTTGGATCTTGCTCCTCACCGTGTCACCATCCTAGGTCCTCCTCCAAGTGGGGCCACATAGGCACTCGTTGATCTCACCTTTACAGCTAACCTTGCTCGCCTAAATTTTAGAACTATGTGCACCCATTTCTCCTCATGCCTGAGCTATCGGCCTTCATTTCTGGTTATCTCAATATTATTGCTTTATCAACCACACTGTTTTGCCTAATATATAACCATATTATTGCTTAATTCTTAACATTGTTTTGCCTAACAAATGAAATAAAGCTAAGGTTGGTGGTTTCCCGCAGAAGGGCAGGCCTGGTGCAGTGGTGAGAGCTGTCTCACTGAGTCACCAGGTCATGGGTTTGAAGCAGCCTCTCCGCAGATTTTGCGGGGGGAAGGCTTGCCTCGGTTTTTCCCTTCCCCAGACCCCACTCATGTGGGAGCCTCCGGCACTGGGTCTGCCCTTTTTTTTTTGGTGGTTTCCCGCAGATCTCATCTCGTGCAGGAACTCCAAGATTCAGTACGATCTGTGCCCTTGGCACATGAAGGATAATCAGTTCTGGAGGATATACTACCTGCTTGCCAAGAGTTACAATCTCATCGTAAGCTCTCGTCTTAACAGTATCCCCATGTGTGTGTGATGCTCCAGTCTGTCAATCGTTGAATAATGAACGAAATTAGCAACACAAGTAAAATTTAGCTTCTCACTTTGGTTACAGTCAGTTGAGTTCTATCTTCTATGGAGTTCACTGTAATCTTATCGAGTACTTCAAAATTATATATGGATTGTGGTATTTGCAATGTGGATATAGTATTCTGCTGTCCTTGTACATAAACAAAATGAATCTTGTCTCTTCAGATGTGAGTAAATCTGTATATTCAAAAAAAATCGAACATGGGACTGATGAACATACTGAAAATCGAACTTATCAACACTAACATTCAATTCATCGGCATTATGTTTCTTCATTCTATGACTGTTGGCTATGTGTTGACAACCAAAATTGTCCATTGTGCGAAGACCAGAACTTCTAACCCCTACTAGAACTTCTGACTTTCGCATAGGAGTTCTGGCTTTATGCGGGAAGCAGAACTTCTGATCTCCTACCATAACTTCTGACTTTCGCATGGGAGTTCTGGCTTTGCGTGAAAGTCAGAACTTCTGATCTCCTGTAAGAACTTCTGATGCTTGCCTGGAGGTGCTAGCTTTGCACGAAAATCAGAACTTCTGAACCCTGTCAGAATTTTTGATTTTCGCAGTCCGAATCAGGGAGAGTCCAAACTCGATCCTAACTCTTACAAGCTCGTGGGAAACTTGAAAAATAAGTCTTGGAGAGGTTTCCTACTGGGATAAGACCATCCCTCTATATATATATTAGAGGATCATGGCCGATTGAGTTCTCATCTATCCAATCGTCAAAAAACACAACATATCAACTCCTTTGCCCTAATTCCCCTCTCTCAACCTGTCCTGCTGTTCGGCAAGTCTCTCCACGAAATTTGTTGGCATCCTAGGTGGTCTTGCTGGTATTAGGAGATCCTCCACGTGCCTCTCCCTGACGGATCCTTCCGGGAGTGGTTCGTGAGTCTTTTTAGCCGAGAACGAGCTCCACGTCGGCCCTATCGGTCTCTAGATCGGTTTGGCTGATTACGCTGCGTTCTTGCTGCGTTGCAGGTTGATCTACAACCTCTTTGGGCTTCCAAGGCCTTACTGGTGTGTTGGCTTGAGGTCATCTTTAACGTCAACATACTTTTTGACAACTCCGCTGGGGAAGGCGAAGCAATCCAAGATTCAATCTAAGATCGGCATGGGAAGCAAGGGTGATGATGCAGGTGAGAAGGGCGACAAGACTCGCGTCCCTCATGATGCTAACATCAACCATCCCGAGACCGTTGAAGAGCTTCCGAGGAGCTGAAGCAACAAGTGGAGGCCAAGTTCAAGGCCGTTCTGAAGGCTTTTCTTCAGAGTTGCACTAAAGATCGGCGGGACAATGTCACCCAATACAAGGAGCCAGATTTCAGCGAGTTGATCACTTCTACATCATCCGCACCCGCTGCATCTGAGGTAAGGACCACTGAACCTAAATATGATGAAGATCCTTATCCTACGCATGCCAATTACGCTACTATGATGGAAGATCATAAGAAAGTAACAGATAATAATCTTTTAGCTGCGGTAAATATGATCATGGCTCGTTTTGATAAGTTAGAAGGGAAAACAACCGATGGTAACCAATCGGGTGTTGCTTCTTCTAAACAACTTGAGTTTGGCATGCCTTTAAATTTTTATGAAAACCAAGGGTGATATGCAGCAGCAAATAAAGGCAAATCGGCCCCTTCGACATTTGAAATCGATAAGGCCGGTTTAGCCGGTGTTGCTCCATCTTCACAATTGGTTATCTATGATCAAAATTCGACTTGAAACACACGAACCGATCAAAGATCAGCTACAAAGCGAGCTTCGGTGGGGCAAAACACGGTTCTATCAAACCCGCCGAAGTCACCAAGTCAAATCCCTATACTTGATAATACACCTACTGCTCCTACTACCAATTTTAATGAAGCTTTGAATTGGTTTAGTGATGAGTTGTCTAAATCACTTGAAGAAAGTTTGGGTGTATAAATCAAGCCTAGTAGGACTACATACTGCAAATCGTACCCTTCGCATTTTGATTTCATGAAAGCAACTGATGGGTGGAGGGTACCTGATTTTAACAAATTTAGTGGTGATGATAGTAAATCAACCATGGAGCACATTAGCATGTTTCTTGCACAATTGGGTGAAGCTAGTGCTTTTGATTTTATCAAAGTTCGTAATTTTCCTTTGTCACTTACTAGCACAGCTTTTGCATGGTTTACTTCATTACCATCTTGTTCTATTGGTTCATGGGTTTAATTAGAAGAGAAATTTCATAATTACTTTTATAATTGTGCTCATGAAACTAGATTGTCTCACCTTACATCGGTTCGTCAAGGGCGTGATGAGTCCGTCCTTGATTTTTTCAAACGATTTAGAGAAATCAAGAATCGATGTTTTCATTTAATGATTTCTGAAAGAGATTTAACGGATTTATGCTTTGCTGGTTTACGTCCTAGTATCAGGGAAAAACTTGATCATTATGAATTTGTTAATGTCAATCAATTGCTTCAAAAGGCCGTTTCGCGCATTAGAGTCTCGTGATGCTTACAAGTCACATCGTCAGGGCGTGCACTTTATTGATGATAATTCTGATTGCTCTGATGATAATAAAGAATTTTTAGCTTCTGAAATTAAATGGCCAGCAGAGAATAAATTGGTTACTTGTCCTTCTCAAGCCGATTCATAAGAATCAGAATGAGGAAATGAAATTTACTTTTGATTTCTGTAAATGTGACCGAATCTTTGATGAATTGTTGAAATTCTGTTATATTAGAATCAATTATACATTCCCTTCAGCTGATGAGTTAAAGAGAAGGGCTTATTGTAAATATCGTAATTCTTTTTCTCACGCCACTAATGATTGTAATGTTTTTCGTCGGCAGGTCCAATCGACCCTTAATGAGGGACGATTGAGTCTTTCTAATATGCAAGTTGATAAGGTCCCTTTTCCCATGCATATGGTTGAAGTAGGGGCGCCCGATGTTTTGATTCGTCTAGAGCAAGCCGATACAACTCAAGGCAAGAACATGATTATCGGCGAACCACGTGTTGCACCGAATGTCGAAAAGAATTCAGGGCGCAAGGTGGTGCTCGAAAAGGATGATGAAGGCTGGAACAAGTTGAAGATCACCGCTGGATCAACGCAATATTTGAGAAGGCAACGGTGGTACGAAACAGCGGCGACACAACAGAGGCCGGCTAGGCTGACTACACTAGTCGGCCAAGCTGACTCCAGCACATCGCAGAGCCAGTCGACTCATGGAGTCGGCTTAGCCGACTCTACCCCCAGTTCAGCCAAGTCGGCTGAGCAGCCGACTGCCCCAGTCGGCTTAGCCGACTCCCCTGGTTCTAGTAGCCCTGGTTCCTCCGGCGTTTGTGTTTTGTGCACGTTTGTTCCACAGCGTCCGAAGATTGGCACTGGAAGACCAATGAGAAGAAAAACCAGGAAGAGCTTGTGAAGAAACAATGCACCTTTGACAGACTCATGACCAAGTATAAGCAACAAAAGGCCGATTTAGGAATCGGCTGTTAAAAAAAAGAGTCTACTTCGCCTAAGCGAGAAGATGACAAGTCCAAACAGTTGGCGGTGGTGCAACCAGCAGCTCCACCTCAGGGAGTTGCTCCTCGTGTATCTTGTTGGGGTCCCCGATTCTACCTCCGGTTATGCCACAATGGGGTCCTTATGGAGTTTGGATGCCGTATCCTCCGGCGGCGCCTATGCATAGTCAATAAAGGTGGGGAGAGCCTGCTGGTCAAGTCCCAAGAACCTCCGTGTTTAGCCGATTGAACAATGGTCAATTGAGCTCTCGGTGGTGCAAGTCAAGACCGTGTGATTACTCTCAGGACTTTGACTCCACAAGAATCGAGAAAAGCACCAATGCAGCAAGTTTATGTGCCTAAGAAGGTTGAAGCTCTCGCCGTTCCCCCACCAAGAGCTAGGCCTCGATCGGTCATCACAATCGGCTCCATGGAAGCTCCCGTCATTAATCATGATGGGCCGATTGTAATTGAAGAAGTTTCAGCATCTAAGCAAGATGAAGCTCCCAAAGATGTTGCTGGAATTGAAGAAAAGAAGCGCGCCGAAGGAGATTCCAAGTATTGGCAACCCATATGGTGTCCTCGTGGGTTGAACAAGACTCAGCGGCGCAAATTGCAGTGTGCCTGGCATAAGCAACAGAAGAGGGAGAAGCTTGCCAAGATGGAGAATGAAATCCTCAACCCCGTACATGTTGAAATCCCTCCGGAAGGTCAAAACGCCGTTGCTACTGCTAGCTAGTCGGCTAAGTCGACTCCTGAGTCGGCTAAGCCGACTTCGCTTGCCCCTACTGCTCTAGAAGCTCCAGAGTTGGCTAAGCCGACTTCCGAGTCGGCTGAGCCGACTCCTGCTGTCCCGGGTGCCTCTAAGGTGTTCTCCGATGATTTCGCTACTACCGTTGCTGTTCTAGTTGGCATGGAGGTTCCTGAGGTTCCCGACGAGGAGATGGTTGACTATGAGGCTACCCTGGAGAGAGCGGAGGTCAATGTGGTTGTTTTGTCTGCCGATTACTACATCGTGGCAAATGACTCCACGGCGGCAGAATTTAATTTTGCAATGGAGAGCGCTGTATTTTAGAAACCAGATGACTCCGTCAACCATCTCTAGCCTCTACATGTGAAGGGCCATATCAATGGCACACCGGTCCATAGCATGTTGGTGGACAGTGGGATGATAGTGAACTTGATGCCATATCCGCTTTACAAGAAGCTTGGTGGCACTGATGAGGAGCTAATCAAGACCAATATGACGATCAGCGGTGTGGAGGAGGTGCTTCCATCCCGGCTAGGGGAGTTGCTAACATGGAGCTCACCATTGGAAGCAAGACTCTGGTCATGGCGTTTTTCGTCGCCGACGTGCAAGGTAGCTATAACTTGATACTTGGACGTGATTTGATCCATGCCAATCGCTGCGTGCCATCTAGCTTGCACCAATTTCTCATCCAATGGGTGGGAGATGCTGTTGAGGTTGTGCATTCAGATTCATCGGCTAACGTTGCTGCAGCCGATGCTCCTTCGCTTGGGGGGCATGATGCTATTGCTTGCTTGTCTGGTAGGGACCTTTCTATCTTTGAATTTATTAGTGTTACCAAGCAAGGTTTTGTTCCTGTATCTTTGAAGCCGATTGATAATCAGCTCAATATCATCATGTAATCAATTTATTGTAATGGATGCCAACGTTGAATGGTTAAAACATCGTGTTGAACAGTATCGGGCTAATAAGCCGATGCCAGTGAAGCTATTGATGATTTTGATGAGCTCGACAAGTTGGGCCATGGTTTTACGTCGGCCGACCCTTTGGAACAGGTTGATATTGGGGATGTCTCTGTGCCCCCGACCGACATTTATTAATCAAAACTTGGAAGCCGATTACAAAGATGAGTTAATCGAGCTTCTCAAGGAATACGTTGATTGTTTTGCATGGAATTATACAGAGATGCTTGGATTGAGCGAAAGCTTGTTAAGCATCGGCTCCCCATTAAGAAAGGATCCAGGACTTTCAAGCAAAGCCCCTACCGATTTAATTCTATAATTTATGATAGGATTAAAGAGGAGATTAATCGGCTATTGCAAGCAGGGTTTATTAAGCCATACAGGTATGCGGAGTGGGTTTCTAATATTGTGCTTGTTGAGAAGAAAGATTCTGATAAGGTCAGAGCCTGCATTGATTTTAGAGATCTGAATAGAGCCACTCCAAAAGATGAATATCCTATGCCTATAGTAGATATGCTTATCAATGATGCTTCATACGACTTTCATATGTCCTGGGTTTGTTGGTCTCTTTGAGTGGGTTGTGATGACATGTAGGCTGAAGAATGCAGGTGCTACTTATCAAAGAGCTATGAATTTGATTTTTCATGATCTAATTGGGGTGATTATGGAGGTATACATTGATGATATTGTGATTAAATCGGCTGTCCATAAATCTCATTTGGCCGATTTACGCCTTGCTTTTGAAAGAATGCGCCGTTATGGATTGAAGATGAACCCACTCAAATGTGCTTTTGGAGTATCGGCTGGGAAGTTCTTGGGCTTCATAATTTATGATAAAGGCATAAAGGTTGATCCCAAGAGGATAGAAAAGATCAAGAAAGTTCAGGCGCCTACATGCAAGGACTTGCAAAAGTTCCTAGGGAAGGTGAACTATTTGAGAAGATTTATTGCTAACTTGTCCGGGAAAATTATTCCTTTCAGTCCCATATTGAAGATGAAGGATGGATCTGAATTCACTTGGAGGGCAAAGCAACAAGAGGCATTTGAGAAGATAAAGGAATATTTGGCAATACCACCGGTTCTTTGTGCACCTAGAGGGAGAGTTCCTTTTAAATTATATATTGCTGCCGAAGAGAAGATAATCGGGGCTATTTTGACTCAAGAAGATGAAGGTAAAGAATATGTGATTGCTTATCTTGGTCGCCATCTTCTTGATCCCGAGCAAGGTATGCCCATATAGAGAAATTATGATTGTCACTGTACTATGCTTGTGCTAAGATGAGGCATCATCTTTTGTCTAGTATATGTGTTGTTGCTTGCCAGGCCGATGTGATAAAGCACATGTTATATCGGCCAATTCTTTGTGGAAGGATAGACAAATGGGCATACACACTAATAGAATATGACTTGACTTTTGAACCATTGAAAACATTAAAGGGTCAGGTTCTTGCTGATTTCATTGTTGAGCATGGTATAGATTTAGAAGATGAAGTCAATTACCTTACTTTTTACTCCATGGAAATTATACTTTGATTGATCAGTTTGTAAAGATGGTCAAGGTGTTGGTATTATTCATGTTTCTTCAATGGTGTTGAAATTGGGATATCAAGCCGATTAGATTTCTCTTGTACCAACAATCAAACCGAATATGAAGCTCTATTATTTGGGTTGATCATGTTGTGGTCCATAGAAGTAAAACATGATGATGCCTATGGTGATTCCTTGCTGGTGGTACAGCAAGTTGCTGGTGAATTTCAATGTTTAGAAGGATCACTAAGAGCTTGCCTTGATGCTTGCCTTGATGTTATTGGTTCTTTTGCCGAATTTCGAATTTTGCATGTTTCAAGGTATGAAAATTATAAGGCCAACATGTTAGCTCAACAAGCATCTGGCTATGACATCGGTGGGCATAATTTTCATGTTCAAGAAAAGCCGATGCATAAAAATCTGGAATTTTTCCATGCAGGTGCAGACCAAGTCGGCTCAGCCGACTCCTCTGCAGCAGCCCCTAGTCGGCTAGGTTGATGCCTCCAAGTCGGCTAAGCCGGCTGCCCCAGTCGGCTCAGCCAACTCTCCAGCGACTAGCCTAGTCAATTCGCTCGAGAAACTTCCAAATCGGCCCAACGTAACTTCCAGTGATGTTGGGGCCAATTTAGATGATTGGAGGACGCCCTTTGCTGAGATATCTACGTGATCCAAGTGCTAAAGTTGATAAGAGTGTTTGGTGGAGTGCTTTCAAGTATGTGTTGCATAACGATGAGCTCTATTGGAAAACTGCCGAAGATTTGCTGCTTAAGTGCTTTGGATCTGATCAAGTAAGAGTGGCTATGGGAGAAGTCCGTGAAGGCATTTGTGGTACGCATCAATCGGCCCCGAAGATGAAGTGGTTATTGCATAGAGCCGGTTTCTATTGGTCTACTATGGTGGCCGATTGTTTTTGTTACTACAAGGGTTGCGAAGAGTGTCAAAGGTTTGAAAATATTCAGCTTGTGCCTGCTGCTATGCTTCATCCTATCATCAAACCATGGCCTTTTCGTGGTTGGGGGCTGAACTTCATTGGCCAAATTCATCCATCTTTCAAGGAACACTGATTTGTGTTGGTTGCTACGGATTACTTTACTAAGGGCCCGTTCTGTTAGGCTCATTTCTGGCTGGAATGGTTCCTTGTGATGCTTGGTTGTATAAAATACAGCAGCGTTCCTGGCCGGATCGGTTCCAGCACTCAATCCCGTGCGAACCGAACGTGCCATAAGTGGACTGAGGCAGTTCCTTTGAAGAATATGACACACAAGGAGGTAATTGAGTTCATCACTGAGCATATCATCCATAGATTCGGCATCCCTCAAACATTAACTACAGATCAAGGGACATCATTTGAGTTTAAGGAGGTGAGGGAATTTGCCGAATTATATAAAATCAAGTTGCTCAATTCATCTCCGTACTATGCTCAAGCCAATGACCAGGCGGAGTCTAGTAATAAGACTTTGATCAAGTTTTGTTTGAAGCTATATGGGCACATCGCATTTCAAGGCATGGTGCTACAAAAGTTACTCCTTTTGAGTTGGTATATGATCAAGAGGCCGTGTTATCCGTCGAGGTGAATTTGGATGCATATAGGCTTGCTAAACAAAATGATCTATCTGCTGTTTTGTATCATGATCTGATGATGGATAATATCTATGAGGTGATTGATGTAAGATTAAAAGCTCTCAAGGAAATAGAGAAAGACAAAGCTCGAGTTCAAGAAAAATACAAGAAAGTCAAGAGCAAATCGTTTCAAGTGGGAGAATTAGTGTGAAAAATCATACTATCAATTGGATCGAAGAGCAACAAGTTCGGCAAGTGGTCACCAAATTGAGAAGGTCCTTACAAAGTGATTAAAGTGATATTCGGTAATTCTTATTTGCTAGAGACATTGAAAGGTGAACGTCTCAACAGAGCATTCAACGGAAGGTACTTGAAAAAGTATTTTTCAAGTATTTGGCAAGAAGCCTAAGTGCTCTCCAAACAATGGCCCATACATACATCGGCCTTAGCCACTGAGCAGCTGATGAGATGGGTATCGTCGCTGTTTGGTTTTGTTTTGATAGGCCTTTTTAGGTTTATGCATCATTCAACTGAAAACAGGGGGCATATGTTGGCAACCAAAATTGTCCATTGTGCGAAGATTAGAACTTCTGACCCCCTACCAGAACTTCTGACTTTCGCATAGGAGTTCTGGCTTTATGCGGAAAGCAGAACTTCTGACCCCCTACTAGAACTTCTGACTTTCGCATGGGAGTTTTGGCTTTGCGCGAAACTCAGAACTTCTGACCCCCCTATAAGAACTTCTGATGCTCGCCTCGCCTGGAGGTGCTAGTTTTGCGCGAAAATCAGAACTTTTGACCCCTGTCAGAACTTTTGATTTTCTCAGTCCGAATCAGGGAGAGTCCAAACTCGATCTCAACTCTTCCAAGCTTGTGGGAAACTTGGAAAATAAGTCTTGGAGAGGTTTTCTACTGGGATAGGACCACCACCCTCTATATATATGAGAGGATCATGGTCGATTGAATTCCCATCTATCCAATCGTCAAAAAACACAACATATCAACTCTTTTGTCCTAATTCCCCTCTCTCAACCCCTCCTGCTGTTCGGGAAGACTCTACGAGATTTGTTGGCATCCTAGGCAGTCTTGCTGGTCCTAGGAGATCCTCCACGTGCCTCTCCCTGACGGATCTTTCTGAGAGTGGTTCGAGAGCCTTTTCAGCCGAGAACGAGTTCCACGTCAGCCCTATTGGTCTCTAGATCGGTTTGGCTGATTACGCTGCATACTTGCTGCGTTGCAGGTTGATCTACAACCTCTTTGGGCGTCTAAGGCCTTGATGGTGTGTTGGCTTGAGGTCATCTTCAACGTCAACACTATGCTTTTGTTAATCTACTTTTACCATCATGAAATGCTGGAAGGTGATTGTTCTTTACTATACATACTTCTGCTCGGAAGATGAAACACATTTTCAACTACATAGTCACATAGATAACCTTAAAAGCTAGTGGGCTCCTGTCGGAAGGTTACTGAACAAGGCTCCTTATCAAGAAAATGAACAATGGCATGCACAATTCTGTTGGTTAATTGTTTCTTTCAGATTTTCAGTCAAACATTGCTTTTGCTTGGTTCTCAACTAGAATATAGTAAATTCACTATCCTGCATCCTAATGGCTTCCCTCTTGTTTGCAGGGTCGTGGTCCTGTAGATGAATTCCCGTACATGGACTTGCCTCAACACTTCAACCCCTACAAAGCATTTTCTTCAACAGTTACAAGCAATTTAGTTTTGCTAATGAAGCAATTTTAGTAAAGCTCATTATCCAAAATGAAAATTAAATGCTTGGCCAACAAAAGATATGAAGGGAACCAGTAAGAGTCGAAACAGGAAGAATCTTGGAGTGGAGATCTGAAGGGAAGAAACATAGAAAATGCATTAATCTGACTTTCAATACCTGTTATTGTTGATACTTTCGCCTCAACACTTGCTACTTGCTTAATGTTGAATGTATGCGATTTTGTTGATCATCTTGGGTTCTCTGGTTTTCTAGACGATGCATGAGATTTTCTAGATCCAAATTGGTGGGGAATACATGTTACTATGTGAAAGTTATAAAATGCTTACTAGAAGAAGATGGGATGATGAATCTGGTTTTTCCCGTGGGCCTGGCTTGGCAGCTGTGCTCGTTTGGCGTGCGTTTGTCCGTTAAGCGCGTGGAGCTCTCCCGCGCCCATTTCTTTCCTTGTTTGGCAAGCAAGTTGGTTGGTTTCAAAAAAGGAGTGTGCAGTCGGATGGTGGGTTTCCTGCACGCTTAGGCTGTAGTAAAATCCATATATCAAATTATTAATATTTATGATACGTAATAAGTATCATTAGATTATTCATGTAATATATTTTTATAATAAATTTAATTAGAGATCTAATGTAGATAATATCTTTTAAAATCTTAGTCAAACTTAATGACTTCTCGTAAAACAAGATTTATATTTTGTTGGAATGGAGGTAGTAGATGTCTATGGCAAGTCGCTGCTGCTGCGAGCTATGACTAGCACAACTGTTCATTATGCGCTACCGGTAAAGCCACATGACCTGCGCGCGAGAGCCTGGTGGCCTGGCCTTGTATGTCTATGGCTCTATGCATGTGCACGGCAACCCATCTCTACAACTAAAAAGCGGTAAATGTCTAGGTCTACCGGCAAGACGAAAACCACGAACTCCCGTTCTCCCGGCACTTCTTTCTTCCACCCTCTAAAATGAATCGGCGCCGATAGGTGGGACCCACGTTCGCCCACCGGTGTTACGTGGCGCCACCATCCGAAATTCTGAATTTCCTTTTGTCCCTCGCACCGCCCAAGCGCGGCCATCCCCTGTCGACCCTCTCCGTCGCTAGGGTTAGCGCCGCCGCTGGCGTCATCCTGCACTAGGTTGCGCCTCCCGTCCTCCGATACATCGTCCGGCGGATCCGGCATGGAAGCTCCATCTGTTCCCTTACCTACTTGTATGGCACCCATAGATGCCTCGGCCTAGGCAACACATGATTGGCGGAGCCACCACCTGCCCTCTGCGTGCTCCTCACCTCCGCACTTCCACACGAACCTACCTGAAAGCATCTAGGCCTCATGAGTTTCGATGATTAACGACAATGCAAGATTATTATGACTAACGTGTGTTTTGCAGAGGCAAATTGAGTTAGGTCATGATAATGGTGATGAAATGGGCAACCAATGGATTTCATGCCCCTTAGCGATGGTTATCGTTTCGGTTTTCAAAGGATGGCGACAAGACTTAGAATGAACTAGGTCTAAGTGTCAATGGAGTTGGGAGACACTTAGAATAGTCTAGGTTCTTGTTTTGACCTTTGACCATACTATAAAGGGGGCCTTGAATGAGTAGTTGACTTAGGTGAGTCTAATGTTTTAGGTGTGGTGCACACTTGTCTAACATAGCCCTAAGTAGCTCTAGGTTGGCCCTAAGATCAGTTGGAACAACTTTCCGTATTCGACGAAATTCAATTCGGAGTTGTTAGAGGGGTTTTTGTGTGCACCGGACGTTGGTGCAACTGGCACCAGACGCGTCCGGTGAGTGTCCAGTGGCTAGGGTTAGCCACCGGACGCACCCCCTCTGAGGCACCGGTGCGTCCGGTGTACTCAGCTTGCGCGTGAGATAGCATCGGACGCACTCTAGTGTTTTGGGCAGCGTCCGGTCGTAGCATCCGGTCGATGTCCAGTAAGCTCCACGCCACACCGGACGCGTCCGGTGGATGTGGACCGGACACACTGATGCGTCCGGTGGACTTACAGAGAGGTTCCAGAGAGGTCTGGAAGCCACCGGACACGTCCGGTGGGTAGGCACCGGTGCGTCCGGTGCTACGCTGTTTGAATCTGAACTAGCCATTGGCTAACCACCGGACACGTGCGGTGCATACGACCGGTGCGTCCGGTGAACACTTAACAGCGCAGTTTTCTGTGAAGAGGTATGTTTCGAGGTGGGGGGTATTTATACCCCTTCCCCTTGCTTCTACTGTGTACCTTTGCTCATTTGAACAACTGAGAAGCACTTGAGAGTGTGAGAGAAAGCAAGGGCCCTAGTGAGGATTTGAGATTTGCTAATCCATAGATTAGACTCCTCATTAGTGAATTTAGAGCAACAAGTGTGCACCCACTCATCTCATTAGGCTTGTGTGAGTCAAGTGAGAGTTCTAGCTTGTTACTCTTGGTGTTTGACAGCACCTAGATGGTTTGGTGGTGTTGAAGAGCTTGAAGATCATCCGGAGGCGATTGTGGATGACTCAAGCCAAGTTGTGATCGGTTGTGGGCGATTCACTGAGCCGGAGCGGCGAAGAATTAGCCTGTAGAGAGCACTTAGTCCTTGCGCGGACTAAGGGGGAGCGATACCCTTGCGCGGGTGCTCCAACGAGGACTAGGGGGGAGTGTCGACTCCTCGATACCTCGAGAAAACGTCGACGAGTCATTTCTTGCTTTTTCTCCTCCTAGCTTTACATTCAAGCATTACATTCTTGCAAATCACTTGTTTCTTGCTATGCTTGCTATGATATCATGCTAGGTTGGTAGGTCTAGTGCCAAGTTCCTTGATACACACTTGCTTAAGCACTAGGGGGTTAATTGGTTTTTAGTTCTAGGTTCAATTATTGCTTAAAAATTTAGAGAAGCCCAATTCACCTCCCCTCTTGGGCATCTTGATCCTTTCAATTGGTATTAGAGCCTTGTGCTCTTAAATTAGGCTTCACCGTCTAGAGCAAGATGTCCCATGGGGATAGACCACCACCCTTCTTTGAAGGAGACGACTTTCCATATTGGAAAGTTTGTATGGAGGCTTATCTAGAGGCCGTCGATGTTGGGGTGCTCAAAGCCGCCACCGATGGGTTTGCTAATATTAGATATGATGATGACCCATTTGGTGATGACACCCATCATGAAAAATGGAATGCAAAAGCCAAAAACATCATTTTTAGAGGCATTTGCAAGGATGTTTTCAACCGTGTGCGTAATGCTAAAGACGAACATGAGTTATGGACCAATATTTGTGCTCTTCATGAAGGCACAAACAGTGAGCGTGAGGAACGCTATCATTTGGTCATTAGCAAGATGAATGCTTTTACTATACTTCCAAATGAAAATGCTAATGAAATGTACTCACACTTGAATATCCTTGTAGAAGAGCTAAATGGTCTTGGACTCACACAAATGCAACCACCCGATGTTGTGAGGAAGATATTGTGTGTGCTCCCAATTGGACAAATATGGGCACATTGTCACGGTTCTTCATCAAGGAGATCTTTCCAATGCTACACCAACTCAAATATTGGGAAAGATCAATGCTCATGAGATGTACATGCATATCAACCCCAAAGAAGAGTCAACATCTTCCAACAAGAAGAAAGACTTGGCATTCAAGGCAAGCCATGACAAGGGCAAGAACAAGATAGAACTTGAAAGCACAAGTGAAGATGAAGATGACACCAACATTGCTCTTATAGTAAGGAAGACCACAAAGATGCTCAAGAAGCTCAACAAAAGCGGTGTCAAGTTTGACTCAAGAAAGAAGAAATTCTTCACAAGTAGCAAGAGAAAACCAATCTCTAAAATGGATTGCTACAATTGTGGAGATCTTGGTCATCTATCTCATCAATGCACCAAGCCAAAGAAAGACAAGTACAAGAAGAAGTACAAGAATGGCAAAGATGAGATAGATGAATCAAGTGATGATGAGAAGAAGAATGACAAGCCATTCAAGAAGGATCGCTATAAGAAGAAGAGATTCCATCATCAAAAGAAGAAGAATGGCAAGGCTTACATTGTTGGTGATTGGCTCACCGACATCGAAAGCTCAAGTGGATCATCCGATGATGATAGTGATGATGAGAAGGTGGCCGCTCTAGTGATTGGGACTTCATTGCCATCACCTCCACCTCCGCCATCTTCTACATCCTCTACACACCTATGCCTTATGACCAAGGGTGACCGGAAGGTACAAAGTGAGGATGAGGGAAGTGATAGTTATAGTGATAGTGATGATGAGTTTGAAGCTCCCACTTATGATGAACTTGCTAAATTGCTTGGTAAATACACCAAAATCATAATGAAGACTAGGGCTAAAAATGGTCAACTTGAGCAACACAATGATTCACTCATTGATCAACTTGACATTGCCACTAGAGCTAGTAATGAACTTAAAAGTGAAAACAAATCTATATCTTCACTTGCCAAGGAGCTCAAATTATCTCTCAAAGAGCTTAAAGAGAAACATGATAAGCTAGAGAGGACATCTCAAGAGCTTAGAACTAGATATAACTTACTTCAAGATGAGTATACAAATGTTAAAATCAATTATGATACTCTTCTCATTGCAAATGAATATCTTGTTGATGAACCACATGTTGCTATTAACCCCATTGCTAAGATTGATGTAGCAACTTCATGTGATGACTTAATGGTTGAGTTCATTGAGCAAGAGTCTAGTTGCAAGGGCAAGCAAGTGGTTGTGGCAAATCACTATGATGACTATGTCAAGATCAAAAATGAAAATGAGAAGCTCAAGTTGGATCTTGCCAAGCTCACCACAACCAAAGCTATTGTGATTGAGGCACATGATGAAGACTATGACATGTCACTTGAAGTTGATAAGCTAAGGGAAGAAAACAAGAAACTAAAGATTGAGAAGAACCACCTTGCTATTGGATTTGAGAAGTTCACTAAGGGTCATAATCTCTAAAGTGAGCTTCTTATGAACACCGTCATGAAGAATGACAAGTGTGGTATTGGATACAAATCAACTCAAGTCAAGAAAGC